GAGTTCTGAAAAAGTTCATTCTGACAATTTTTACCCGTGTCTTGTTGCTTTTATGGAGGAGAGGATTTTTCGAAGTCATTACTCTGCTGTGACCCCAGTACCACTTAGGTGAATAGGAATCTTCTTGCTTCCCTGTACATTTAGTGACTGCCTGCTTTGTCTAGCTGCTGAAATAGGGACTGTGGATTTAGTAGTGAATAAGAAGACATTCTCCTACATGGAGTTTATGTTCTAGTAGGAGACAAGAAGAACTAAATGTGGAAAACAGTAAAGCAGATCATGGAATAGAGAGTGATTGTGATCAGTGATGAGTAGTGTTTTTTTGTTTGTTTATTTTGTTTTTGGGTTTTTTTTTTAGAGGGAGTCTCACTCTGTTGCCAGGCTGGAGTGCAGTGGCATGGTCTTGGCTTGCTGCAACCTCTGCCTCCCAGATTCAAGCAATTCTCCTGCCTCAGCCTCCCAAGTAGCTGGGACTCTGTGGTTACTGGCGCAGGTATACGCCACCACACCCAGCTAATTTTTGTATTTTTAGTAGAGATGGGGTTTCACCATGTTGGCCAGCATGGTCTCTGTCTCTTGACCTTGTGATCCACCAGCCTTGGTCTCCCAAAATGCTGGGATTACAGGCATGAGCCACCATGCCTGGCCAGTGTTTTTTGTTTGTTTGTTTGTTTGTTTGTTCGGTGTGAGCACAGAGACTGGATGAAGAAGGAAACCAATGTAAGCAGCTGGGCAGCAAAGGGAATAGAAGCACAAAGCCTTAGGCAAGAGTGAGTTTGGCATGTTCAAGAAACCTCAAGAAAGCCCAGGTAGCTAGAGCAGGCAGATAGCCAAAAAAAAAGACAAAGATAATTGACAGCACTAAAATTATATGGATAATTTAAAAGTATTGATATCCAGGACCTATAAATGGACAGCTATGATTTTTGGTAATCATTGTTTTCATTACTTTCTTCAGTAGGCTAACTCTTCTGCAGCCTGTGGAACTGGAAGGAATGCTGCATTGAGTTCTAATGCTAATACAAACCTGCATCATTTTGAACTAAGAGTTGGTTGCTAGTTCCTGGAATTTAGTGTCTCTTCAGAATGTCTTGGTAGAGACTCAGCTAATAAGATCTGTTTTGAAAATTATCCAGTGATGGACACTTTTGCATGTCTTTTATAGTAGATTCATGAATGATTTTTCATCTCTCCTCTTTAACATATGTACTAGTTACCCTTTATTGTATAGCCCCCAAATTTAGTAGCTTGACATGACAACTATTTTATTTGCTCATAATTCTATGGGTCAGTAATTTGGGCATCTGGGCAGTTCTTTTTCTGGTCTTCCCTGAGATTATTCATGTCATTTGACTGAGACTGTTATTTAAGATGGCTTCACTCACACATTTATTGGATAGTGCTGGCTGTTGGTCGGCCTATGTCTCTTCATCAGGCTAGCCCTGGCTTCTTCATATGGCTGTTAGATATTAAAAGTAGAGAGAATGGAAAGCTCCAGTATGCAAGCACTTTTCAAACTTTTGCATTACGTGGGATAGTTTTGTATTTCTATAAATGTTTTTGAGCTCTGCTCTGGCATGCAGTTACATTTATTTGAAAATAGTTTGATCCTTCCAGGTTTTGATTTTACAGATCACCTGAGGTCAGGAGTTCAAGACCATCCTGGCCAACATGGTAAAACCCCATCTCTACTAAAAATACAAAAATTAGCTGGGTGTGGTGGTGAGTGCCTGTAATCTCAGCTACTTGGGAGGCTGAGGCTGGAGAATTGCTTGAACCCAGGAGGCAGGGGTTGCAGTGACCGGAGATCATGTATTTGCACTCCAGCCTGGGTGACAAGAGCGAAACTCTGTCTCAAAAAAAAAAAAAGATTTTAAGATTTAATAGATAGTGCTGGATCTGTGTTCACTGTAGGGCTAGTTAGTCCTCATTACTTAGGCAGAACTCTTGTGTGTACTTGACCCTATCTTCAGTGCAATTGGTGAGAAGTGACACTATTTCTGGCCCTGTGTAAGTTCTGGACACTGCTACCTCTTATCTTTCTGGTGCTTGTTTTCCGGGCTTCTGGTAGTTTCCTCACACACACAGTGTGCTGATCCCTCTCTAGTAGAGGGATCCTTTGCAGATCTCCAGAGTTCATTCTCAATATAGCTCTCCACATTACACTGTCCTCTAGTACTTTGGTCTGCCTATACTCAGTTCTGCCTCCCTAACTCAGGGAGTCTACCACATTTCACTTGCCTTTCTCTTCCTTATCCTGCAGCCTGGAAAGTCTTGAGGAAGAAAGTTGAGGCAACTTCATTGTTCTTCATCATCTGTATCCAGTGTCTTGAAAACTTGTGTTTCATATATTTTCTTTTTTTTTTTTTCTTTTGAGTCAGAGTCTTACTCTGTTGCCCAGGCTGCAGTGCAGTGGGACAGTCATGGCTCACTGCAGCCTTGACCTCCCAGGTTCAAATGATCCTCCCACCTCAGCCTCCTGAGTAGCTAGAGCTCCAGGCATGTGTCACCATGCCCTGCTAATTTTTAAAATTTTCTGTAGAGACAAGGTCTCACGTGTTACCCAGGCTGGTCTCAAACTCCTGGGTTCAAGCAGCCCTCCTGCCTTGGCCTCCCAGAGTGCTGGAATAACAAGTGTGAGCCATTGTGACCTGCCTTTGTTTCATGTTTTCTCTCTCTCTCTCTCTCTCTCTCTCTCTCTCTGTGTGTGTGTGTGTGTGTGTGTGTATATAACTCTACGTATACATCCCTGTGCATGAATATGACCTTCAGGAATTTGTTGGAGATTTTCAAAGTCCTTTATGGACATCTCATTTCCCAGCTTTGCTTTTCTGGGTTGTTTGTTTTTGAGATAGGGTCTGACTCTGCCCAGGCTGGAGGGCAGTGGTGTGATCTCAGCTCACTGCAACCTCCCCTTCCAGGTCCAAGCAATTCTTCTGCCTCAGCCTCCTGAGTAGCTGGGACTACAGGTGTGTGCCACCATGCCCAGCTAATTTTTGTCTTTTTAGTAGAGGCATGGTTTCACCATCACGTTGGCCAGGCTGGTCTTGAACTCCCAATCTCAAGTGATCTGCCTGCCTTGGCCTCCCAAAGTGCTGGGATTATAGGATTAGCCATTGTGCCTGAATCCCAGCTTTTATTTTTAGGCTTTTTGGTTGGCCTGTTGTTTGCCCTGTCTCCACTGCCTCAGGCAGTGAGGATATTAAATAACTGCTCCTGTTTTGGACAAATGCCCTTAGGGAAAAGACTATTTGCACTGGTTGATCTTCAAGTCAAATTAAAGACATCCTTGCAAATGAGGTCTGTATTAGTCCATTTTCATGCTGCTGATAAAGACATACCCAAGACTGGGAAGAAAAATAAGTTTAATGGATTTACAGTTTCATGTGGCTGGGGAGGCCTCACAATCATGGCAGAAAGCAAAGAGGAGCAAGTCACATTTTACATGGATGGTAGCAGGCAAAGGGAGAGCTTATGGAGGGAAACTCCCTGTTTTTAAAACCATCTGATTTCATGAGACTCATTCACTATCACAAGTACAGTGCAGGAATGATCTGCCCCCATAATTTAATCACCTCCCACCAGGTTCCTTCCATGACATGTAGAAATTGTGGGAGTTAACAATTCAAGATGAGAGTTGGATGGGGACACAGCCAAACCATATCAGGGTCTGCTGGAAGCTACCAGACAGGTCAAATAATTAGTTTTCCAGGAATGAGGCTTTGAAGGCATTGCAGACCATTCTGTTACCTTCAGTGACTGCCAGTCAGGCTGTTTGTCTGATAGTGGGCTGTTTGTTTAAAGGCTACTGTGGAGCTGGGGAGGTGGAATGGGAATAGGGCAAGTTAAAACTCCTTGAAGGCTGGGCACAGTGGGTACATACCTGTAGTCTCAGCTTCTTGACAGATTCAGTTGCTTTTCTTTTTTCCTTTTTTTTTTTGAGATGGAGTTTTGCTTTGTCGCCAGGCTGGATTACAGTGGTACAATCTTTGCTCATTGCAACCTCTGCCTCCTGGGTTCAAGTGATTCTCCTGCCTCAGCCTCCTGAGTGGCTGGGACTACAGGTGCGTGCCACCATGCTCTGGCTAATTTTTGTATTTTTAGTAGAGACAGGGTTTCG